AAACCGGGCCAGCCAACCGCTAAGCCCGCTTCGCTTTCGGGTGCCAAGCGCAGATTCGATGGCCCCATCCGCCTCAATTCCCTCGTATATTCTGCCGCCAAGCCTTTCACTTCTTCTTCAATTTCCTTCTTTTTACGGACACCTCCGTGGGGAACTTGATACAACAGAAGGTTACGAGAGCGAGCAACACGGGTAAACATGTGCCCACTGCCCACGGCGCCGCATACCGTGTGGAGATCAACGGCTTGTGTTCAGTCAGCAACCACCTAGTCGAACCCCAGATCTAGCATCGACAATTACATCATACCACAGAATTCGTACGTCCAACGGCGCAGCCCGTACTAGATTCTTGGCGCGGATGAGCCGGTGCAAAATGTAAAGGTAGATGAGAAATCAACGCTCAATGTTATTCATAAGCCCCCTCCCCCGGGAATTTTTGCCTTTGACTTTTCGATATAAGCACGGCGTTAGCTCCCCCGTAAAGCCCGAGTCAGCCAAAGAAAAGTGTGTACTTACGAATAAAGAACCCCGCTCCGATAGTCAAATTGTCTCCCGCAAGTGACATCCTCATCGCGAGTTGATGAGGGGCAAGTTCTAAAATCTCTCTCACGGCAAATGTTCACACACAAAGACAAAAGAGCCTATTGACATACATCCCACCTAGCCCGTCGCCATGGTCTTGACGGTCCTCACAGACGACCAGATCAAGACGATCCTGGCCGATCTGACGGCCGACGAGTTTGACGGGTTCAGAAAGGTCATCTCGACCGCACTCCACGAGTACTCAACCAACACGCACAACATTGAAGATGGCACGTATCACCAGCCGGAGCGCGTCTCAACAGAGAACCTCAAGACGGGCGCGACAACCCTGTACATGCCCTCCGTCGGTCCCCAAGGCATGGGCTGCAAAGGTAAAAAAAACCTCTTCACATCCTACCCCCTTGTCCTCAAAACCATCACATGTTGACACGCACATCTCGTTCTAGTCGTGACCCTCAGCTCCAGCAAAGCCTCCCAAGACCCCTCCAAACCCTCCATCCAACCCACAGGCGCCGTAACCCTCCTCTCGCCAACCGGCGAACCCATCGGCTTCCTCCACGCAAAGACCCTCACGGCCTTCCGCACCGCCCTCTCCTCAACCTGCCTCCTCGCCCGCCGCACCACTGTCAAAACCCTCACCGTCTTCGGCACAGGCCTCCAAGCCTACTGGCACGTCCGCCTCGCCCTCCTCGTCCGCGGCACCACCATCAGACACGTAAACGTCATCAACCGCCGCTTCTCCGACGACGCCCGCGACTTTATGAAGCAGTTTTACCGCGTGCCCGCCAACATCAAGGAGCGAGAGGGTTGGACCGAGACGACGTTTGGGATTTTGACGCCGGGGTATGGAGAGTTTAAGAGGTTGCTGAGGGAGCAGACTCGCGATGCGGATGTGGTGTATTGCTGTACGCCGTCGACGGAGGAGTTGTTTGAGGCGGAGGTGCTGACGAGCCATGAGGGGCGGAGGAAGGGAAGGCTTATTGCGGCGATTGGGAGTTATACGCCGCAGATGAGGGAGTTGCCCGAGGGGTTGTTGTTGCAGGCGACCAAGCATGAGAAGCCGCATTGGCATTTTCATAAGCATGCGCCTGAGGGCGGGGTGATTGTCGTGGATACGCTGGATGGGGCGTTGAAGGAGGCTGGGGAGATTATTTCTGCTGGGTTGCAGCCTACGCAGCTTGTTGAGTATGCTTTTGCCCCTGACCCGGGATGGGGGGAGAAGTAGTGAGATGTGGATGGGAGGCTAATCGTGTGTACACAGACTCGGAGAGCTGATTATGCTCCGTCGGATGAAAGATGAAGAGGACGCGGCCTCGGAGCTCGAGAAGCTTGACTTTTCGGGCACGCCGTCCATCAAGTCCGCCTTTTCGGGGTCCGACGGCGCGTCTGTACCGGAGCCGCGGTCGTCTATTAGTAAAGACTCGACAAAGACATCAGGTAGCAGCAGTAGCAAGGGACCGAGCATGCTTCGCCGGAGCTCGAGCCAGAGGTCGGCTGACAAGCGCAAGAAGGAGGACGCGCTGGTGAGGTGGCTCAAGGACGGGACGGTCATCTATAAGAGTGTTGGGCTTGGGCTCATGGATCTGTCCGTTGGTATGCACATGATTCAGCTTGCCAAGGAGAAGGGTATTGGCACACGGATCGAGGGCTTTTGAGAGGACTGGGAATGGGGTTGGGGTATAGATGGAGTACAACAGGTTTAGATGGCGATCTAGAAAAGGGGTCCGTCTTTGTTTTTGTGATATCCTTTAGATTACGAAGAAATGGGTACGACGGGTGCCTGCGATATGTTCATTACCTTGGCTGGGCCAGCTTATGCGTCGTAGACTATCACCAACGTGATATGATTCCAAGCTGAAAGCCTTCGAAGAATAAGTGAACGACAAAACTAAAGAGACTTGATAAGAAATCGTACTTTCAGTTCTAGTCCTGAAACCCGCGAGGTAGGTCGAGGGAAAAGCACTACCTAGGATTGGGGGAACTACCACCCTGAACCTCTACGTCTCCAAGCTCTTAGATCTCTGATTCATTGGCGAATTCCTCTCCATCACCGAGGAGAGGCGGCTTTCTAGCGTACACCGTTTTCAAATAGTGTGCAGGCAAGGGTGACATACTGGCGTTTAAAAGGCAAAGGAGCGACGGACGGAGGAACGGGTCTCCTGTCAAGCATACACTCGTTGAACTCGAGCACGGTTTCTTGCACTCGCAATTTTGTGGCATTTCGCTGCTACGCTACGTTGAAGCATATAGTAACTTATTTACAGCACTCCTCAAGAAGCAGGAAGATCACCTTTATTCCTAATGCCTGTCTATCTCCCTTATTGTATTCACACCCTAATACCTAGAGGGTAGAATAGATAAGCGACGAGAGTTTATTTTTTAATTGCCCTAGATTGTTACGGACAAAGGAATATATATCCTCGACTAGTAAAGCAGCGGTATCCCTCGCTTCGTTGTAATAGACGTATGCCTAGGCATTCGCAAACCAGCGCAGAGGGAGGGAACCTGGAAATCAAAGGCGCAACTGTGGCCCAGCTACTCTCCCAGCTTAAGCCCTGAGATTCTTATACTGACTGCTCCCTTTGGTCAAAGCCTCCCGAAACATCTGTAAAACCAGGAGCATCAAATTCTTGAGTTATTGAAGTCAATGAGAAGCGGATATATAGACTTGACTAAAAGTCGCTGTTTAAAGTCCGTTGCTTTGGGTATCGCCGGTTCCCTACTCGGTGTTAGCAAGGCATTATACGAACAATACATACCATAAATACACGGCGAAGTGACCGCAGGTCGGGAGTACAAAATCATTACTATCCGAGTCTACGTGAGACCTCTTTACGAACGCATCGCCCATTGACTCCGTTCTCTAGAACATCTAATCAAGGGGCATGAACAAGTCTCAATCTACCTTTCTAACCTCTCACTCACTCATTCACGGCGGGTGAATCTGCCCAAGGGGTAAAAGTCCCCATTCCTTCTCGCCCGTATCAAGTCTTTCCTTCTCTCCCTCAAGAGTGGCCGTTACTACCCGAGTATAGGCCATGTCATACCCGCCTAGACGACTATATAAAGAGGCACCTAGAGCAGGAAGACCAGTCCTTCACCCAAGTTCGCTTGCGCTTTTTAGAGCTCGCGGAAATCAGCGGTGTAATTCTAAGCAACCAGTGCGGCGGCACAGTTGGCAGCGGCCGCGAGGATTTTGATCTCCCACCCCAGGAGGTAAGCCTGGCTAACAAAGACATGAGTAAAAGCCCTCAAGCCACCACCCACTACTTATTCTCCTAGACATCTTCTCCGTATTCACCGCACAATAAACCACCAGCGAAAACGAACCGAGATAGACACCGGTTGAAGGAGGAGGGCACCCCGCAGCGCACCCCCGTAGGGCTCTCGCAAGTCCATTCTCCCAATCACCCAGTGCCATACCCCCCTCGAAAGGGTAGATTGTCCCCCATTGCCGGTGGCTTCTCCTCCGGGAAGAAGCGTGGTGAGTACCAAATACCTCACCACAATATATACTAATCCACAACTATTAGTCGAGCGTCCTGACCCTGCCTCCCCCGAGGGCAGAACTCCCCACCAAGAAGCGCCGCGGCAAGCAGACTTAGCGGAGGCGGTAATTCCACCCCGTCGCTAAAGGGTGGTGAAGATAGTTCCGGGTCCCTAGCTGGCAGATATCCAACAAGTTCGAAATTTAAAAAGTGTACCCAATTGAAACCTTCGCACGTCGAACAAGAATTGTTCGGGGCCATTTCGTCTGCATCGTCATGACGGACCACGTATCGTGCGTTGATGAATTAGCAATACGGCCAACACCTACGCCTTTCATAGACCCTTCCACACAAGGGGGGCGGGGGGATAGAAACAGCTAGCGGCACAAAGTCCAGATGAAAAATATTGCGTTGCTTCGCATTTCCACTACCTACAAACCCAACGAGACCTCAAATCCCAAAGTACGCCCTTTCCCAAAGTCTTTACATGCGGTTGGTCCTACAGGTTACGAGTTCCCAGAAAAACGCCCTTTCCCATAATCTAAACCCATCACCGAAAAAAAAAGTTCCTCTCTCTGTGTGTCTTCCACGCAAGGCGGTCGCCAAGCACATGCCGCTCGCTCGCTTCCATGCCTGTACCCTATCCAAGGAGGGAAGTTCTGCTGCCATTGTACGCCGACTGACATCTGTCAGCTTATGAACACCAGGTCGTGCTACGGGGATAAATACCCATGCGGTAGACGGATTCCCTATATCCCCTCATCCTCAACTCCAGTGAAAATTGTAGTCTCCTCCACTCGCTTTGACAGCAATAGTCTATCCCCAGTTCAGCAAGAAACGCCGTCCGGGTAGTTTTCCTCTAAGTGTCCGAATACGCCACGATGCAGTATACAAGGGCAAACAACAAGAAGGAGACGATGGACCCGGTGACCCAGGTGATTTTCTCTAAATCCCAGGAATTCACCAGACTCATGCTGTACGGCCATACGCCCGCTCTTCAATGAGCCGCCGACTGTTCCCGACGCTCCCATACAGCATCTCCATCAGCTTGCCCTTCTGCCGCGTCCGCACACCTTCGAGGTATCCCCCGACGTCCTCGAGCCCGCGGATCTGATCCTCGAGCGTCAGGGTGCTCGAGTTGACAGACCTCACGAGCGGGCTGACCAGCTTGCGTCGCAGGTTTTCGAGATTGGCCTTGAGAGCCATGAGCTTGCCATTGTGCTCGACCAGGATGCTCTTGTTTCGCACTGTCTTCTCCCTCACGTTCTGCAGCAGAAGACGGTTGCGCTCGTACTTGGCCACCTCTGCGGCGTTGGCGCCTAGGATTCGCGTCCAGAGTGACGACAGCGAGTCAGCGTGTAGGTCCTCCTGCGCGGATGCCTCACGAACAACAGTGCGCGCGAGATTGAGGAACTGGTGGTCGATGGCCTCGAAGAGAGCAAACAAGGCGAGAGAGTGTTGAAGTTCCGAGTTGATGGCATCCTCGAGTACGGTGAGGAACTCATTGAATGTGCGCTGAAGAGTGAGGCGTGTACGTTGCGGGTTGGACATGCCAAAGATATACCTCGACAGAGAGCCAAGGCGAGTCGGGCTGCCAAAGCCGTCTTCGAGAACGCCGGCTTCAGAGAGGAGATTGTGAATGTTGTCAAAGGCGGCAGTGAAGGGCGATGACGGGAGATGTTGAACCTGAGAGAGTTCTCTGCGCGCCCAGTCCATGACTATAAGGATGCTAACTCAAAATTAGAATCAAATGCTTCGCGAGTGAGCACACATGCAGTGAGTGAGACTTACCCATCAATGTCGCCATCAACATTCGCAAAGAATTTTGTCAGCTCAACAGCTAGAGTCTTCAAGCTTTCACTGAGATCATCCAGCTCCTTGACAATGATCGGCGCAGAAGTCATGTTGCTGGAGCGCACGCTCTCGCCGAGATCCCACACGGCGACACCAGTCGCTTGCAGATCGCCAACCTGGGATGCGCCATTCTCAGAAAAGTAGATAAGCGGTTCGAAAGACCGCGCGATTCCCGCGACTTTGACGAGGTCGGGCACCGGCTGCTGCGCAGCGGGCTGGAAGAGGTTGCGCGTCGCAGTAATGGCGAGCACGGCGATGAGGGTGGACAGGATCGTGGACGACCATGAGTGAGTCAAGAATCGCCATTTTGAGCGGAAGAAGTGGACAAGGGCTTCGATAGGTTCCGTACGCTGCTGTACTTCTGCGCGCAATGCGAATCTGATATCTATCGGCGAGGTCAGCCTGATACCCTCCCATAGCAGTCGTATACACACGATGGAAAGGGTCGGGTTTCAGGTACGGGGCCATACAATTGTCTTGATTCAACGTTCCCTCTGAAGGGCTCGTTTCTTTCCATGGGATATCCTCCAACTTGATCGTCCTATCCTCCATCTTGGGTTCGGGGCTCGGCGACCGGGCCTTATCAGGACTCATGCTTCCCGTCGGCAACCTCGTGCGCATGGCCCTGCGCAGCACCGACTCGCCCTCATCGCCGTCGCTATCGTACTCGGGGCTGGACTCCCTTGACTTGAAGCCGCCAAAGCCTTGGTGGTGTCCGTGGAGCTGCGGGGAGAATGCGCCCAGTAGGTCATCACTCCGGCGCCAGAAGCCGCTGTCGCGACTCCCGTTTCCGAGGCGGCGCCAGGCCGGAGGACTGTAGCCACCGGCGGAGACTGAGTTTTCGGGGTCCGGGCCCAGGTCGCTCTCCGCGTCGTCTGACCGAAAGCTCGAGTGATGCGACGGGTGCCCGAACAAGTTCACGCCCTGAGGGCCCCTCCTGCCCGGTGGCGGAGTCGTCGGCTCGAAGTCGCCCAAGGAGGCGTCTAAATGATCGAGAGGATCGAACGTCATCGAATGTTTCGTAGCCATCATCATATTCGTGCTGGTAGTGTTGAGAGGAGTGGCGGTTGCTGCGACGGACGAGAGCGCCGCTGGCCTCGGGGGCGGGTGGTGCGGGCAGGGCCTTGTAAGTGGGTGGTGGTGGGAGAGGAGGCGGCTCGACTGCGGCCTCTGCGGTTTTGGTGGTTCGACTTGTGCGCTTAAAGTAGCTGACGTTGGGTAGCAGTGTCGGCTTCCAAGAGATCTGAACGATGTACAGATAGACGAAGACGAAAGATAGGGTCAGTGTTGCGACGTATGTGCTGGGAGCAATGGTGATGCTCAGCAGGGAAACGTTATTGTTGACGGTGACCAGCGACGGCATGGAAAGCATGAGGGTCAGAGTAGGTTGGGCGCACACCCTTCACCGTGGTCGCCTCGGTGTTGCGACAGAGACGAACTTCTGCTGCAGGTCGACGGCTAGTACGGCGCAGAGAAGTACCTTGTTGGTTCACTTGACGTATTGCGGGAGCGCAATGCAGGAGGGGGGAAAAGTGGGATGTATAAGGCAAAGAGTTGAGAGCAAGGGGAATAGAAGTGCCTCGGATTGATGTAACGGATCAGGGCAAGTAAGTATAAGGTAGGCCAGCCCAATGTGAAACTGAACTCGATCGGGAATGATATGCGCGGATGCGATAAGAGTAAAGGTAGGAGGATGAAGAAAGGTTGAATTTGAGTATGGATCTAAGGTAAGGTAAGGAAGGTATGTAAGGTAACGGTGACAGACCAGGCGCCTTCCCAGGATCGCCCGTCTCTATCTCTCTCACCCCTCTCTCTTTCCTCTTGGATGGAAGACAGGACAAGACGGGATAGGACAGGATTGGGCGGAAAGTGGGTAGAAAGAAGTAGCAGGTGACCTGATTGAGAGTGGCCGCAGGTTTGTGGAAAGGTAAGAAAAAGCGGGAAAAAGATGCAGCAAGCAGATGGAGAAGCAGCAGCGGCATGCAATTCCTCGTAGAGGGAAGGGGGAAGGGGAGGGGGGTTACGGTGCTTCCCGTTCCTCTCTTCGTCTTTTCTAATGCAACAGCAGTACGGATAGCGCAGCAGCTGGGATCCCCAATGCCCACCCGAACCACCTTGCGTCGCCTTTCGAACGAGACGAAATCGAGAGGTTGGGGAGCTCAGGTCCCCACTTGCCAGGTTCGAGGCCGTCGTCCAATCATTGCCCGAGCCTGTCAAGGGAGCGGCCGGATTTCAGGCCCTGGATTGGGTGGGAGGGGCTGGAGAGGGGCCCCTACACCGAACAATGGCGACACTGACCTGGGCGAGTACGTACCCACCCTCCTGCTCTGTTCGCTCTGCGCTCTCCCGTGCACTCGCACTTTACCGTCTTTCCTCTCTCATAACTTGGAGGTCAATACCTAGTTGATGAGCAGCAGGAAACACATCTCAACGCCATCCTCCTCTTCTTCCTTAACAATCCCTCCCCCTACGGATGGATACCCGTATCTCCCTTCCGTCCTGTACCTCTTCCCCCCCCCTGTCCCGGTGTTCCCAAGTACCCATGCGCGCCCCATCTCAACCCGCGTCGTTCGTGTTTTAGGAAACAAGCGTGTCTGCCCCTCGGACGTTTAAGTGGTTGCATCTTTAGTCACGGGACCAATCTCAAGCACGAGAATGGAAGGCGGGGTCCTCTTTTTCGCTGCGTCTTCTTTCCACTTTTGAACGTAAACAAACAAACCTCTCTCTCTTCAGGTTTCCAAAAAACTTGCGCGATCCAATCAAAGTGACTCACCGACAAGGCCTCGGGAGCATCCGATTCGACAACGACGCCAACGAGACGCGGGATAGTGTGGGCAAGGGAACCCAAGACTCGCGTCCCAAGGAGGGCTGCTATGAGGTTGTGAAGTTACAAGTACCTATCACAGTATATCCACGCACAAGATGTATATACCTGGCCATATAACGGAGCATGGCACAAAAACCCCTAGCTAGAACTGCCAGAACGTAGCTAGGCTCTAGCATTGTTTAATAGTCCACGCTTTATCAGGACGAACCTCAAACAAAACCCACACTCAACCCCCCCGTTCCCCAAGGCACAATTGCGTACGTACGTACTATCGACCGGGCATCTTTACACGGGATTGGCCCCGTTTGACCAAGAGGCCCAGAAAAAACGCAACTGAGCTGGCCCCAATCAACCACTTTCACTATCTTATCACCCCGCACCAATGCCCCACCTTCCCAGTCCCGTCACCGAATCAACTGTCGCCGGGCGGGACCCCCTACAGACGACGACTCCATTCCCTTCAAGTGACTCCTTCATGATCATGACGAGCGTCCCTTTGCCCATGTCGAACTATGTCGGACGGACATAATTCATCTGCTTGCTCTTAGTAATACATAAGATGCTCATGCACAATTTCATAAGCACGTCGTCCCGGACATCACCGGACCTATCATTGCTGGGGCCCACCGAGTTGTTCACGTTCTCTGAGGCCGCCTTCTAATAGGACTCAACCGCAGGCAATGGACTCAAAGTTGTAGAATGGAGTAAGAACTCAACCAAGTTGGTTGTCGAGTCTTCTGCTTGACCGCTTTTTATGACATGAATAATCGTCAAATCCCCTAGGGAAATAAGAAACAAGTGAGACGCCTCGCATGGCTCGTCTCTAGCCTGAACCACGCTTGCTCTCTCCATCCCATCCCCAAGTGAGAAGCCTTCTCCCACGCAGTACCTGGGATACGTGTCTCAGGCCTGTACCCGAAATGGAATGCTCGTACCAACATAGTGAAAAGGAAATTGTGTTGCTCATCAAAAGCTCTTTCGCCGATCCTGCTGCTCCGTCGGCTCCATCTCCCTCTCCTCAACCATTGACGCTCGCCTTGTACTGAAGCGATTCCACAGCCCCGACAGCCTACGCCTCGGCGCGGGGTCCTTCTAGTCGACCTTTGCGTTGGCCAGGCTCTTGGCTCCCGGGTTGTTCAGGTCATTGACCTGCTTGAGAGGGCCTCTCTTATACTTGCTCTTGTTGCGAAGGCGCTTCCGCGCTACCATGACAGGCACCGAGCTCTTTGTAACAAGATAGTTGGAGAATGAGCCAAGAATCACACTACTCAACAGTCAGCAGGGATTCAAACGGTGGAGGTGAATGGAGTTGACAACTAACCCCTTGAGAGCGCTACGGCCTCGGCTGCCCAGGATTACCAACGTAGGGCTGACAATGTCAATCACCTCGGTAATGAGATGCTTTGGGTTCTTGCAGTGAATGACCTCGACGATCACTCGCACTTGCAGTCGAGTCCTACGCAACAGCCGCTCAACCCTCTCCTGGATGTCGTTCACCGCCCGACGACGCTCTTCCTCGGCGCGACCGCGTTCCCTACTGGACGGCGCCGGCGAAGAAGAGTCGCTATTGTTCAAGGCCGAGGCTCGCGGGAGGTGAGGGAAAGGCGGGGCGCTTGTCATGCCTGGTGGCGGTGACTTGGCGCTGGACATGGCGTTGATAGCAGCTGCTTGTTCCTGATGCGCGGCACGTTCGTCGGGGACCATTATTCCCTCGGTCGAGTAAATGCCAGTCTCTTCATCGACGCAGTAGATACAGATGAGAGTATCGCCGTCTCGCAGAACGGTGCCGATAGTCCATTCCAGGGCGTGTGTCGACTCCTCGCTGAGATCGGTGGCCACCAGGTATTTTCTCAACCTATGATGCTCCTCTTCGGCCGACCTTTGAATCTGATCAAACTCGCCGCGCATGATGATGCGTAGAGTTCGTGAAAACTCTGGGTTGTTGAGCGTTTCTGTCCGTGAGAAGGCCAGTCTCTGTGCGCGCTTGATGTCGTTGAGCTCCTCCTCGTCGTCCGAGTTCACAGCGGACGCCATTCCCGATCCTGGCTCGTTGTCAAATGCTGTGGTTGGACGGATGCCTGCTTTGTGTTTCGACTTCTCGCCGCCTGGTTTGGTGAGTGTGATGGAAGGTTCGTCTAACAATGACTTGTATTTGTATTGAGGTTGCTTAGAGCTGACTGCCAGGCCTGCAAATTTGTTAGCATCTTTAAGTCACCATGAGCTTGGGTTACTTACGCTCTTCCTCGGCCGCGGCAAGCAGACTGAGTGTCTTGCGGTCACCTTTGTCGACCGAGGTGCCGGACTTGGCATTGCTCTCTTCATCTCGAGGTGACATCTTACGTCCTCTCTCGTTCTCTTCATCAGAATAACTGTGCGCGTCTTCGTCGCTGCTGTCTTCGAGCTCCTCTCCGTCAGGGCTGAGATAGTCCTTCGTAAGACGCCCAAGACCGGCATCGTCTGCGTTTGACTTCTTCCGTCCAGCCAGCCCGGAGAGGCCTCCGCCTGAAAATGCCAGATTTGCGTCGGATAGTTTACGGTATGCCGTTGAAATGTCGACCACACGACCATCATCAAGGATGGCGGTTCCAGGAATCTGCTGGAGCCGACCGCTGACATTGGGCGATCGGGAGCGCATGCTCAGTCTGCCATGAGGGGACTTTGATTTGCTGCCCTGGCCTCTGCTTGAGCTTCTCGCACCCATGACGGGATTGCTAGCAATGGAGCCGTGGCGGGCCCTGTCGCCGGGGAGGATGATGCCGGGAATGTCGTTGCCGCGCATGACATCAACCATAGCGCCGCCGCCCGGCTTCTTTATGCCCAACGCCTTTCCCTGGGTGTTGCGCTTCGGCATAGCAGTCCCGATATTGTTAGTAGAAATATCAGAGAATTGGTAGTCCGCAGTCGGATCCATCCGATTGATCGGGGCGCGCGGACCAAAGCTGGGCTTTTGGGAGTGTGAATCGGAAAACGTTCTCGGATGAGGTGCGCGAGATTCGACTGGAGAGCTGGGGCCGGCACTGGCAGCCTGCTTTGGAGCCGATGTGTTGATATCGAGCATACTCCGAACGGGGGCCGGAGGACCGCTGATATCCAACATGCTGCGCACCGGTACGGCGTTTCCAAGACGCGGACTCTTTGAACCTCCATCGGCGCCGATATCCAACATGCTTCTGACGGGCGAGCGAGGCGATGTGTAGGGCGAAGGCGAGCGTGCAGAGACGGGCGAGCCCGTGTTCCAGTTGGATCTAGCAGCGGTGCCCTCGAGCAAGGCCAGAACATCTCTCCTCTCCTCGTCGAGCATGGCCTCCATGCTCATGGGTTGGTGCGACATCTTGAATGGGGTCGAAAGTCGGATTGCGCTCTTGGCGGAGAAGGAGCCTCGTTCAGGACTTTGCGAGCGTCGCTTTTGCGGTAGAAGAGCAATGACAACTCGTTCGCTTGAGGATAGTGATGACTTCGTTGATGTAAAATCGAATACGGGAATCTGGATCGGGTCGGATAGACGTGGTTGGGGGTAAATCTAACGGGGGATGATCTTGCGATGTTGACGTTGGCGGTGCAAGTTGGACGGCAGAAACAGCATTGTGTAGGGGCAGTAGGGATATGGAGGTCGGTGGAGGCTCCTTAGATCATGGCTCCGTTGGGACCAGACCAAAAGTGAGGAAGGTGCGCTGTGGGTGGAGGCCTAAATTAGCTTGTGAAGCACGAGTCGAACTGCCAAGACCGGTTGAAGGAGGAACAGTTAGTTGTGGTGGTAGGGGAGGAGGAGAAGAGAAGGGTAAAAAAGGGTGCGGTGCGGTGCGGCAAGAGAGAAACAACAAGGAGTTGAAGGAACCTGAGGGTAAGGTAGGTAGCGCACGACACACGATTGGTGGTAGTGGAGTGAAGGGTACTGTGTAAGGTAAGGTAAGGTATCCGTAGGAAGGTAAGGTGTAAGGTAGTTCCTAGTCCCTTTCTTTACCTACCGTACTACTTTAGCCAACCTAAGGTTACCTTACTGCGGTAGTCCCAGTCCAGCCCAATGTTTCCCCGGTGGCAGCGGCAGCGCAAGCGCGAGCTGTGAACGAATGGAACGAGCAGAGAGGAGAAAGGTGGGGATTGGGTTTTGCGGGTGGCGGGCACCGTCCGGAGTACGCAAGTAAGGTAGGCAGAGACTCGAGGAAGATGGGAGGACAGGAGGGGGGGGGAGAACGTGGATAACGTGGATGGTGGAAGGGATCGGGGAGGGGTAGGTGCTGCGGTTTTAGCGTCGACGTCTTTCACACCAGTTGACGGCGCCCTCCCTCGTGTTTTACTGTGTTAGTTTGAAGCCTTACATTTATTTGCCTTTGTGACCTTGGCCCGTGACTGCGGAAGCCTCTACTTTGTACGGATAGATTGACATGCACTGAGCTCAAAGTGGTGCAGACAGTGCCTGGAGAATGCAGTCATCCGATCCAAACTCATCGTTTCTCTTACGTTCTTGATGACCCTGTCCGCCTGTCTCTTGACTCCTTTGGTTTACAGAGTATCCGTAATACGAAGTATATCGCAGAGACTTGTGAACATGGGGTGAGATTTGCAATGGAGCCATGGACACCTTATCCAGCCCAGCCAGCCCCATTTAGGCCGTATTCCATTTGCTCTCTCTCTCCCAAACTCATTTCCCCAGAGGCTGAAAGAGATCATCCATTCAGAGCGCCCTAATGCTGCAGAGAGACAGAAGGACCGCTTCTTACTTGCCCAGTGTCTCCATTTTCATCTGCGTGCCGTGGGCGCTTCGTCATCACCCGTCTTGGTACCACTGGTACCTGCCCACTCAGGAAACCCGGTGAGGTACCCCATCTCATCCCACCTCACCTGTAGGCTAGCCGTAGACAGGTTTGAGAAGTTGAGAGAGGTACGACGTGACCATCAATCATCCGAGAGCCATTGGGCTGCTGGGCTGCTGGCTGCCCCCCAGGAAACTCAATCGAAAGATGGGATGTTACCTCAACTCTGCTTACGCCCCAGCGCCCTCTCTGACGTTTGTCTGCTGATTTGATGCACGACATTTCATCCCCAAGTATGCAAACCATCCAAAGTGTACATGCTCTGTGCCCTAGGACTGACCACTCGTCTGCCCTCAAACAAGGTGGGTGTACGGTTACGTACCCGAAGATCTCTGTGCCTTAGCACCAAAACGAAGAAAAAAGAATGGGGAAACATCTGAGGAGGATCTGAGAAACACTCACCTATATATTGATATTCGAACGAGATCGACAGGGTTGGTTTCAGAGCTGATTTATCGTATGGTGTAAATCAAAGAAAAAGTGTTTACAAGAGCACAAGGAGAGAAAGTCGGTGGTTGTGGCGAGACCGAGAAACAGTTCATTCACCACAAGTTACTATTCTGGAAAAAAGAAACATGTGTCTATCTGCTCAAAGAATTGATTTGCTATTCGCACATTCGTTTGTGTAGCAGTAAGGTCGAACGATGGATGAAAACCCATATGCAAATGAATGACGCATTCCCTGCTTGTCCCCACTACAAATATTTGTTTTCGGCTTTTCGTCACAGACACAACCCGCTCTAGACCTCAGATTCCTCTTTTCTAGGAATTCCGAAAACCGCTTACAACGACCCGCGGCCTCCGCCATCGTTCCCCGTCCTGCGCCTCGCTCTCCGTATCATCCCACAAAGGTATCATTCACCTCCACTCACTTCTGCCGGGCAGAGAGACGGTCTTACAAGCTTCGCCGCACAGTGCTTCCGACAGTGCGATGATGACGACGCCGGCGTCCACCGCCAAGACCGGTCGTCTTCTTGGCAGGTGATTTGTTCACCGTGGACGGCGCCGACTTACTCTGTAGGACACACTCTTCAGCCGCTGCCCCGGAAAGGTAGGGCCACACGGCCAGTGATACCTAGACCACCGCCCGACCGTTTTCTACACTCGAAGAAAGAAAGAGAGAAGAGACAGCAAGAAAAGACGTCACTGCGGGCCCGGAGGGGGGAGGGGTTTCCATCACGTGAAAACCATCTCAGAAAATCAAGGAAACTTTCCCGAGCGTCCGCACGACAGTATCGTGGCTTGGCCGGATGTCTCAATCGAGTACGGGAATCTTTTCGGCCCCGGAGGATTGCAGACGCCTCTTTTTGTCCTCTCATCGCCTCACTGAGACCCCGCCTTTTATCCTTTTGGCCCGGAGATGCGTTAGACCTTTGAGAGTAGTGAACTATCTAGACATTTATTGAGGCTGTGCTGCAGTCCGTGTCGGCCGCTTTACGATGCCGGCGTCATTCGTATTCAGTCTCTCACAGTGTCGTGAGGCCTCGTGATGCTTACATGGGCAACTGTTGAGCCATCTTCATACTTCACCACTAGGGTATCATGGCTCCTTGGGAGAGTTTCAATAACGAACATCTAGCCTTCTCGTCACAATTCAAGAGTGATACAGCAGTGTCTCTGGGAACTGGAACCGAGAGATTATGCTTTTATTATACACGCAAAAGCTGACACAGTGATGCAATGCTTTTCATATAAGGTGAAAGCGGAACCGTCCAGATCAAGACATTCTGGCCGCCAGAGTCCAGATTCAAGGTGCCCTAGTACAGACAATACTACACCAGGTACCCTAGAAAAGAAATTCAAGAACTCAAGAATAGAAGGTGCAGCGTTAGAATCAACGCACCCATAACAGCGATAAGGAATTTTGGCAGAAAGGCTCCTCTTGAGCACTAACATTGGCGGGATAATATAGTACAATATACAGCTTTGCTACAAATCTCTCAACGTCTTTTTTTCCCCTTCCATCTTCGTACAAATCCTTCACCACCCACCCTACATATTCTGCTTCACAACCTTGGCGGTCAAGTTGGCACGCGTCGCCGTACCCAACTTGTGCAGCGCCAACCGCTTCTCCCACACGCCCGACCGCCCCTCGGTGACGGCAATCAGCTCGTCCGCCACGCGGTGCGCAAACTGCGTCCGGCCGGACCCCTTGGACGCCTTCTTGTTGACCACGTCCAGGATCCACTGGAACGCCGCGCGCCGCCTCTGGCGGACCGCCAGCGGGGCCGGGAGTTCCAAGGGTCGACCACCACCGGCTCCGCCCGCGATGCGGCGGATCTTGATGAGGGGCGCGACGGAGTCCACGGCCAATGTGAGGTATAGCACGGGGTTCAGGGGGAGGTGAGCTGGCGGCGGAGCGCCGGGGAGGAGCGGGTATCGCGGGTTGATGATCGGGGGAGGGGAGGTTCGCAGGAAGTTAAGGACCATGGCCATATTCTACAGAGGGCGCGTTAGCATATTGTCTCTCCTCATTATCTCGAGACGTAAAGTTCCCGTTCGTTCCAGAGTGTTTGACTTACTCTTTGCGCCTGGGCCTTCTTGCCATCTCGCATCATCAGGTTGGTCAATTGGTCTAGCACGGGGTGGTACCGGGACTTGAGGTGGCTATGGGGCGGCAGAGGAAGCGTGGGCAGCGGGAACTTGTACGACCGTGACGGAGCGACCTCGGCGTCCCCAGCCTGCGCAAGAAGTCCACCGCCGGCTATGATCTCGAGATCGCGCTGGCCGTTGCCGTCCGATTGTGTAGGTGGGATGGCGCCCTCGGCATACAGAAACTGCTCCTGGGCCTCCGTCAGACCGCCCTCGAGACCGGCACTATGCCCCTTTGCCGCCTCCGCGAGCTCGCTCAGTGCCGCAGCAGCTTCGAGGGCCTCATTCGTTGGCTGCGAAAGTGAATTGTCAGCATTTCCTTACTCTCCCCGCCCCGTTCGTCCATATAATCTTTTTCCTTGTGTCAAGAACCCCATACCTGCTGTTGTCCCGGCGCAGATTCAGGGACCTCCTGGCCCTGAGGAAAAGCCGCATTCTCGGTCTTCTTCAACGCCGGAATCTGACTCCGTTCGCCCTTGCGCAGCTCGTCAGAGTATGCTCGTTTCGTCGCCGCCCAGACCAGAGGTTCCTGTCGTTGGGTCAGGGGTCGGGAGCGCAGCGCGAGCGCTCGACAGGCGGTCTGTAGACTCGGCCGCAGAGACATGGCTGCTCTGTATGTGTACAAGTTGCCGGATTCGTATCGTGTGCCGTCGATTGAGGTATATCGAGGCGTCGGGCGGTCGTAGGAATTGGAAAAAGGTACTTGATTTCGACTGGCGATTTTCGACCCAGCGCGGCCAATCCGTGATCCACGAAAATTATTGAGTCGCGCGGATGTTGCCGCTCCACTCTCGAAACGTCGACTGCTTACCTACACCTCTGCAGTACCTACGTCCAGAGCCCGAGCTTCAGATTGAGTGGGTCTCTAGAGCTCTACCCGGAGGAAGGTAGCTCCGTTGGCCGTTAACTGTGCTCGAGGGGGCCGGCTTAGCTAAGGTAGCTACGTTCCGTTTACAGGCCATATCCCAGCCCAGAGCCGGTCGGGGCCGTGCCGCCCACCGAGACGAACCTCACAACCCCTTAGGTAAGCTAATCTCAACCCACCTCCCGCCCTCGCTCACCGAATATGCAGACCTTCTTCACCAATGCCACCACACCTCTTCCGTCAGATTGCTGTGTAATTCTGTACATCACCCTCCAAACCAATGGGCTTTTTTCTCATTGCCAGACACGGCACAGCGCCAGTCACGAGACTCTCCCTCGAAGCGGCTTACAGCTCCTTCAGATGATCAGAGGTCTCTCTTGCGGCCGCCAAACCAACAACAAATCCTTTTTTTTCCCTTCCCCCTCCCAATCCCACCTGAAGCCGCAACAGTGTCCTAGAAAAAGAGAAACCCCCAATTCAGACCCCCCTTCCATCCCTTGGCCGATGCCCACGGCGTCCACGTCTCATCGACATCCCGCACTTTCACCATGTGGGTTTTTGGGTCTCAGTGACAAGAAAATCCCGCCCCCAAACTTTGCCCATCATGAGAGAGAGACCAAAAGTTCCCAATCGTTTTGCCAATGAGCCAATGTCAAATTCGCCCCCCATGGCGGCGCGGATGGGGGGACTTGAGGACCTACCTATCTAAGTCGCAACGCCGCCCACATGTCGAATAGCCGCGAATTTCCTCGACAAACAGAAAGGAAAAAACAGCGAGGGAAATACACCACACATACACACACCTACACACACCTTGACACCTAAACCCCGTCTCCGAATACCTGCCTTACCCCTCGCTGCATGTAGACCGAATAGGGAACAAGTCACAATCACCCCGAGAAAGGATGCGTGATTCAAACTGCCTGCCTGCCACACGCTGCATAACCCACCACCCTCACCACTCACTCACTCGTGCAGATTCCTGCAGCACGGCATTTAGCGGCTCTTTTCACTTTCTCTGCCCATCGCGCGACTCTGTCTGCTTCTCTCTCTCTCTCTCTCACCACATCCCGCGGATGCACAAAATGGGCATGTTATCTCTATCTCTCCATCGAGTGGATTCGTATCCTCCCATGGGGGCAGACCGAGAGAAAGAGGAAGAGTTGTCAACTTTTGTCATTCCATTGACAAGTTCCTAGCGCTAGACCAGCTGATTCAGCTCCCCCACCGTTCATGAAAGCTAGGCTGGCTGCTCCCCCCCCCACCCCCCTCCCTCAAGATTCCCCTTCCTACTTTACCTTACATAGGCCAACCGTGGGCAACGCAACTTAGGTTGAGAAACAGCTTTGCGTTGGCGTGGGATCTGCCGCAGTCCCGTTGCTAGCAGACCCCCTAGCTCATCTTTGTCCAGGGGGGGTAGGGAGGGGAGCAAGCCCACTGTCCGCCGACACCGCAACGACCTCCTGCATTGGTGATAGTAGAACACCCGAAATACCTATGTCATCGTGGGGGGGAGGGCTGAGAGGAGAGAGCGGTGGACAAACGAAGCGTTTGCCCTGCCCGCGCCAATCGACACCCCCTTCTGCGCCCGTGTTCCTGAAGAGGAATCAGCTTGCTATCACGAAGCCACTGATGTCTTTTTTTGTTTGTTTAAAAGTCAGCTACAATCCCATGTCATCACCGCAGCTATAATGACGGAGAATTAATCTCGTCGCACGTGGATTGAATGCAGAGTGGTGTGGGAAGAAGAGGATACGCCCTCGCCAGGAAAAAGGAAGTCTCGTCATGTTGATCCTCATCTCTTTTGGCAACTTTGCGAGGAACCAGCTCCGTCCAACGTAAACCCTTTTCTACCTAGCTATGCCACGGCAGCATCCCTTGCGCTCGTGGTTGCTTTTCCCATCATTAACGCCGCTCCGTAAAGAAAAACAAAGAAACGGAAAATGTCCAAAACTGCAACCCAATTACCAACCAGGGCCTGTCTTCGCAACGCCGCCCAAAACAACAAGGAATTAAATGAGAAGAGTCCTCGTGACCCCGTCCAACTGTTCTGCCGGTGCTGTTTCGCCAAGGTTCTGTCTCGTGTCGGAATTTCTTCTCTCAGCTCCCGTCCCTGTTCCACACGTGTGAGGTTGTGAGGAGTACAGAGAGAAACGAGACACGCCGCCGCGTGCCCCTCCCACCACCCCCTTGTGGATTGATGTGGTGAGAACAAATGTTTCTTTTGCGCCATTTCTCCTCAACCAACTCAACACCATCTTCCTTTCGGAGCCTCCCAATTGACCGTAGGTAGAAATGTAGTACGCCGATGTTCCGTGATGTCCCCTTGTGCCGTGTGGCATTTGGCCAATGTCTCCCAATCTCAACTCCAGGTGTGTATTCGTACAGTTGAACATCCGAAACAAGAGCCCAGGAAAGTAAGAGCAAGAATAGTGCGTTGAATGGAAAAAAGAGACAAGAAGTGTGACGCTAGACGATGATGCTCGAATGGATGTTTCGCTGCAAGTTGCGGGTATCTTTGCACGTCTGTATCCGTCTTTCGTTTCGTCGTCTTCTTCTTTACCAGCTGCCTCTGCTGTTGGCTGGCGAGCTGGGATTCGAACCGGTGAGGTAGTTGAGAGCCATTTCGGCAGCGTCTTCTTTCGCGTTGTTGAGGTTCTTGCCGTCGTACCAGAATCGTGCGGAGAGGGTACGTCCGTGGACAGTTACTCGACTGGACCAAGCGGTGCGGCCGCCTGAGTGAAGAGCAAGCGATCAGTAAAGGGAGCAAGCCGGATGGGATGGTTCCTGGTAATGAAGCTTACCACGGCGGTCAGAAACGATCTGGAAGACGGGAGGCATTATGTTGGCCTCGCGGCAAGCGTCTGTAAAGCAATTGATCAGCTGCTGCGTCCATAACGGTGGACGTCGTCATAGCGAATCTCTACCTTCAAGTCGCTCTTGCCAGGTGCCTGCTTGACTACTGTATGACGAAGCAGACATGGTGGCAGTCGACGTGTATGACTTGCTGGAGTACATGCAGTGCAATTGTATGGCCGAAGCAACAAGGAGTAGGTTTATAGAGGTATACTGTTCGAGGGGGGTGTCGAAGCGATAGATGTGGATTGTAGTAGGTGATTATTGTTGTTGTTGGAGTCGGTTTGGGATCGTGGATATCTCTCAAGACAAACGTACATAGAGTAGCGACACTCGGTGGTTCTTATACTCGGGATCAGGTCGGCCGTGAAACAAATGGGTATATTCCCATTGGAGTAGAAAAGATTATGATGTGGCAGGACGAGATTAGCTAGAAGCTGTTCCTGGAGGCAATGAAATGTTTGCACAACGAATGTAGACGGGTAAGGGATCAATTGGGCTGGTACCCTACGGCATGCTGCATCTTGGGATGGGGAGAGGTGGGAGGAGAGAAAAGGAAGGGAAGATGAGAGAAAAGGGACATGATCCAAAGAAGTAACGACACAACATCACGTCCCAATTCCGTTTGGGTTTGGTACGGCAGGACCGCGTCGGTTTCCTGTGCCCTTTCTTTTTCTCCATGCCCTGGTACTTGTCTCTGACGACCAGCAGGAGGAGCAGGAGCGGCGGCGAGGAGAAGAGGGGTGTGCCACTTGGGTGTGAGTGCTTCTGCTTCGTCTGATGCCAGACCACAGACCAGAGACCAGACCGGACGTGGGGAGTGTGGTACTGGCCGCAGAACGTCGTGATAAACTTGGATCTCTTAGCGTCATCTTTTTGGGTTATTATTTCCCTTTTTTTCTCTCACGATTTTTTTTCCTCTGCTTTCTTTTTTTTCTCACACACCCCTGGACACACACAAACACACATACACACACACACACACACATATGCTAGTCGTTGAACCCCCCGCGTGGTCAACCGGTACATGGGTGCCGACAATCATGGGTTTATGAACAGGCAGCTGGGAAATATGGGCTTGCTGGACTTGAAACAAGATGGCATAGCTCCACGGCTTGTAGGTAAGGTGAATACACGCTACTTGTGAAGGGAGACCGGGAAATGGCCGCAGCTCTGAGCGAACAGTTGATTGGGACGTGGCTTGCCAGGCTCCCTTGCCCGGCGTCCGGCGGGGTCCAAGGCCACACAGAAGCTGGCGTGGAGTGCCGACCCGTCGGGGTGGAAGAGGGAAATGATTGGGAGCTTCAAAGCCGCAGAGGCAAGGGCTTGTACAAGGCCAGCCGGGGGGTAGGGTGAAGGGGGTGGACGATCGAGCAGACGGATGAGCACTCCGTACCTAGGCCGACTGGAGGGCAAAGGGGTGAAAGATGGAGGTGCAAACGGTGGGAAAAGGCAGGGTAAGAGCTGACCAGGGGCAGGACTGGAATCTCCAGCCGAGAAAGGGAGAGGAAACGAAGGTTACGGAAAGCGGATGCATACAGCCTGGATGTATCCACGAAAGTGAGCTGTGTGTATCCGTATCCAGGTTATGTACCAAGATGAGCGCCTGACGTGCTACATGGTACATTGGGAGATGAGGTTTCGTGCAGATGTTTAATCCGCAGGCGAGAGAGCGAGCAACAACCGTACGAATGAGCGGCCCCAGATACACGAAGAGTCTATTTGAAGATTGCGAGAATGGGAGTGAGAGTAGAAACAGAGCGACGAGGCTGGAGGGCTAGAGAGAGGGCTACGATGGCACCACGTCCCATGAAGTCAACGCTTCAGCCGACCCAAGCTAATCGCAACCAGGGCTGGGCTGGGCTGGCTGGCTGGCTGGCACTTGTTGATCGGTACATGAACCATGAGGCATGGGCCATGAGAGGGAAAGCGATATGTACGGATAGGTAAATGAGAGCAGGGGGCAAGGGTTCAACAATAATAGCATTGACATCAGCCAACAAGCCGACGATTGGGCAATCAAGCTAGAGTAAAAGTAAAAGAGCGTGACAGAGCGAAGCAGTAAGGTAAGGTACCTTGGAAGTTAGCCTGGGCACCGAGCACTGGGCAATCCGCAGTGGCATCCGGGACCAGCTCTGGGCGAGCGACGCCAGGGCCCTCTCCGGCGGCATCGACTCCGCCAGCCGGTGAAGCAAAACGAACCGGGGGTGGGAAATACCAAGTTGCTAAGCAGCCCGGTGGTTGGGCAAGAGGGACAGTCTCCTCTCCATACATTGCGATGAAAGGAAACTCGGTCAGAGTCGTTTGGGCCTCATCGAGACCATCCTCACGGCAATGGACTGACGTTGAAGCATGTCGGTTTATTTTGGAATAAAAAGCAGGGGGAGAAAAAAGGCCGTCGAGCCACGTCGATTCAAATGCGCGATGCGGCAGGAAAAGGGCGGGGAGAGGCGAGTGATGTATGTACCACCGTACTGATGCAGTTAGCGGAGGGGGGGAAAGGGGGTGGGATCGGGCAGCACTCGCTCCTCATCGTCATTTTGGGGTGGGGTGAGAAGAAGATCAGGGCATTTCTGGCAGGGCGGGCCAGACCACCGATGATGATGATGATTATGATGCTGTTCTGCTGATTCTGACATATGCTGCTGCTGCTGCTGATGATGATGATACCGATGCTGTTGATGCGGACAATTATGAAATGTGAAAGACGACAGAGACAGATTGGGTTTGGTGAAGAGTGAGAGTGTCGTCTTCCAAGGTGTGGCATCTGTAAGACGAACATGTGGTTGTGAGACCTGCGTCCGTCGTTCCCTGCTCTCCTCAACGCGCTTGTGCTGGCTGTTTG